ATATCTTATAAAACTTGTAAGCATGAATAATTATGCAGGTTTGCATATTTTTGTACTATTTTTCCTGTTTTAAAAAAAAATATATATATATATATATATATAGACAGAGAGAGAGAGAGAAAAGTTAAAATTGTAAAAGAACCATATTTTCATGCTCTCCCTTTCTGGGCATGCAATGTAAAACATAAAAATTATTATTTTTTAGATATTTTATAAATTTGTTGGTGCCACTTTAAATACATTGTAATAAGAGGGCAGAAGTAATTGGTTATGTAAAGTGAAAATTGTGAAACTGTGAAAACTGGTACTAAGGCTTATCAAAAAGACAAAAAGTAAGAGTATGAAATTACAAAATAAGTAAATCGTATTTCTATATCATTAAAATAACATTTTAATTTAAAAAGGAAGGCGTATTGACTAATTTTATTTATTTTTGAGCAATTTTAATGTACTTAATTTATACATGGACTGTATTATATGTTTGTACATTTGGAACACATGTATTTGTAAGGTTTTGTCACGGGTTCTAAGTAAAATTATATCCTGAAGAGTAACCTTTGAAGTATATATAAATATATATATATATATGTATGATATATAACTATACGGTTTTGCTTTCTCTACTTTAATGAAGATTTGTCTATCATCGTAAGTTCTAGAATTGTCTATATAGTCAGTTTCATACTTTTCACTGCACAGTTGCAATTTCCATTACATGGCAGTATAGACCTATCTCTGAGAGGAGTATCTGGTGGTGCAACCATAAGTGATGAGTTGTAGACAGGAAGAAGGCACAGGTTGTACATACAGTAGCAATGGCTTCATATGACTATCTAAAAGTTTCAATCCTAGTTTGTGACAAGAGAAAGAATTTGATGTGATTCTGGGAATTCCAACCAAACAAAAGCCTGACAATGCACTTCATTGTATTGATATAATATCAGAGAGCATCACTTGCTGAGGGATTAAGTTCAGGCTGCAATGCTCTCTGGAACATGATAACTCTTGCCCTATTTAATGTGGACCATCGGGTTATAAACATTACATAAGAAGTCCTTGACATTTGTTTTACTGTTTTATCAGTAAAAGATTCTTGTTCAAGTCTGGTTGAGTCACTCTAACCGAGTCTTGATTCAACTACTCTTGAATGTAGCTACATTGGCCTTACTACTCTACTTAGGTATTGGGTCGAATACTTCATTACTTTACCATGCATATTGGATTTAATATAAAATTATTAATTTTAGAAAAATATACATCATGTATACATGGTGAGAAATAACTATGACCTTTCCAAAATGACCTGAACTGGCAGATCCTACATATTTCCATTTTGCTTTGCTGGATTCCTGGAAGCCTACAATATAAGGCTGTTTCTTTACATTGTAACTCTCTATTAATTCAAACAGAGGTTATAGTATCTGCAATTCTATTTGGCAGCTGCTTTGGGAAAACAACTTTGACATTTTAACATGAACGAGAATGTCTGGTGCTAGATTCTTCATTTTGCTTTCTGGATGCTCAAAATGTCAGAAAAGAATCTGAGATCATTTTGCTATCTTGAGTACAATAGAAGTAATAGTGACTTGTGTTATGTTTGGTGACCATTTTGTTTTATGTAAATTTTTTGGGTCACAGATGCAAAACTGAACTTGGTATGCAGCATTTTCAGAATCAGATGGTACAATTGTATAAAAAACTACAGTACACCATATTCTTGTCAAAGATGATCTTTTCCAGATTAAGACAACACTATATTCTTAGGCCATGGACTTTCCCCCAGAAATTTCATTTTCAAATTTATTATGGGCAATGTTTCCTATTCTGCTAGCTGACCCACTGTCATAACATAAACAGAACATTACATGACTTATGAACAACAAGGGACCACTTATTCCTTCAATGGTGTCCGTAAACACCCACACCTAGGAAAAGTAAAAATTTAAACCCACCCTTTACTATTCAGATCATCGATTCCATTTGTGAATCACTAAAAAGTGCTACCTTCTAATTAGTGCAAACTTAAAATATTTTATCCTTGAAACACCCTGATTATAACCATAGAGGTTACACCTCTTGTCTATCATCTTTTTTTAATGTCTTTATCGTTACTTTTCTATTATTTTGATATTAATGGTATTAAGACCAAAATATGTAAGTTCAGGGCTCTGATTGAAATGAAAGACTAATGGTTTAATGAAAGTTACTGAAACTTGACTAGATCTGCAGAATATTGATTATTAGAATTTTTATGATAGGGGTAGAATGGCTTGTAACATAAGAAGTAAAGTGAGTTCCTTTTTTTCATGGAACCATTTAAATTTAAAACTGTGAAAAATATATTTTATACATAAACTCAAAAATGCAAAGTTGATTATAATAATAATGGACCAGTTTATTTTCATACTTTCAGAAACCAAATGAGAAAATAACATATATATTACTGGTGCTTTCATTCCACTGTTTAACAATTTGTGAAGATAAATTCATATAATTCTCTACCATTCTTTTTTTTCCATTCCAAAATATGTTACAAATAACCAAATATATATTTATTTGTTCTTTGTAACTTAAAACAGATAAAACACATGGTAAGGCTAGATACATAAGAAAATAAAATATAAAACTAACCCTGAGCTCTTCCAATGAATAACCCTGTGTACAGTCTGAATGGCTACTTTCCAGCCTATCCCTTCTTTGTAAATATGATTCTTCGCTTGATAGGCCCTGAAGTTAAAATAAAAGACCAGTTAAATAATAAAATCATGTTTGTTAATTTATTCAAGAAATGTTTTTAAAATTAAATTAGGTTATGTTAATTAATTACTTAATTTTCATAAGACCTAACACTGAAACTGATTCACTTGAAGAATTCTGATGTGGTTGAAGTAAGATTTGTACAAATAAACACACTAAATGCAAAGGAGTTGCAAGCAGCCCACATATTTTAAGAATATAACAGAAAGAAAGATCACAAAATGATTCAATTTATTAAGATAACTCCCATACCTACCATTACAGCTGATAAAAAGCAAATCAAGTGTAATCCTTTAGATCCATGTAACTATCCAATAAGCACTTAAAATAATTCAAACTTATCTAACATTAGATATTATATCATTTGGCAAATTATTCAGCTATCTTAAAACAAGTTTTATTAAAGAACAAGCCTCTATCAAGGATTCCAAACATAAATCTATGTGTTTCCAAACTTTTTGTTTTACCATTCAAATTATTCAAAGTGACAATGTCCTAAACCCTACAAATTTGGAACACTTCTGTCTTTTCTAAACCCCAAAGCAAATAAATTCAAACCATTAAGCATTTACTAGTATGGTATAGTATAGTAAGTATTTTAAATTATGCATCATTATTGCAGTCCCTATTTGACCTCTTTCCTACACGTTAATATCCTGAAATATTAGGACCAAAACTATATATCAATTTTACACAAAATTACAAAAAAAATTCTTGCTTTTAAATTTTAAACCCTTATAAGAAAAACTTATAACTGTTAGCTCTTTCCACTGAAGCTAAATTATCAAATTGAAGGCTTGAAGGTTTATCCAATAATCACATCTAAATCCTTTTTTTCTTCTTCATAAAACAATATTCTAACCAAAAAAAGTAGTTCTTTACAAAGTTCTCTGCCATAAGTGTATAACTTTACACTTGTCAATATTTAAAAAAAATTTTTTCCACATTTTGGCCCAATTACTATGACCGTCAAAGTTTTTCTGAATAAAAGAAAATTCTAAATTAAACAGGACCTTCCTAGCATCATAGAATCGTCAGAAATTTGGAAATGTTATTGTCTAAAATGTTATT